TATTATACAACCACAACAAAATAACTAAGATAGTTATTCTAGGTTTTTTATTATGTAATTTCGTCCAAATTTGAATTTAAAATAAACTGTGCTTATGTATTTTTTAGATTGTTTGATAACAGAATTAACTACATACGTGGAATCTTGTTTTAAACTTTCAATCCTTAGACATAAAAGTTAAACATTTTATACATTTTTAACTAAAAAATAATTATTCAATTTTAAATTTGATAAATTTTGTCAAAATTCGTTCTTTAAATGCTTATAAAAAAAATTGGGCCTGCGTATTTTTAATATTTTTCAACTGCTATTGTAACAATATATCAGGATCCTTGTATTCAATTTTCACACTTTTTGGCCCAACAGATAAAACTTTATTGATATTCATAGAATAAAAAAATAAAAAAATTGAAATATGAAATTGCCCGTTAACAGCTCAAAACAAGTCAAAATATTATCAAAATTGTACGGTGTATAGGAAATGCTAATTTTAACATTCAGTTAAATTTTCATGTTAGATGCATGATCTACATTGATCTTTGAAACAATATACTAGAAGCCCTCTATTAAATTTTCAAGCTTTTTAACCAACTAATAAATTTTTATTGATATTCATAAAAAAAAAAACTAATTAAATTGGAAATTGAAAATGCCCCTAAACAGTTCAAAATATATCACAATATTTTGAAAATGTTATCGTGTATAGAAAATTCAAATACAAACAACCAGTGAAAATGTGTCGATCATTTTGGTCATTTGTTTTAAAGTTACACCAAAAACCAAAATCGATTTTCTCGAAAACAGCTTTTGCGTAAAAATTCTCGTTTTTCCATAATTTTACTTTTGTTTTTCCCGGCGCTCTTGAAAACTACTGGGAAATTTTTACATTTGACCCCCCCAAAGTAGGTACCAACTAACCAACTAGATTCACTTTCCTATCAGAAAAGATACTGTTGAAGAAAATCCAAGCACTTTTACTGTCCTTAAAGGTAAACACAGACACAAAAAAAAATAAAAAATAAAACACACCATTGTAAAATCAGTACATTCATCGTTCCACTCAGAATCTAAAAAACACACATCATTGTAAAATCAATACATTCATCTTTTCACTCAGAATCTAAAACGCACATCATTGTAAAATCAATACATTCATCGTTCCACTTAGAATGTAGAATGTAATTTTACATTTAACAGATAAGAATTGTCAACCCAATTTATTTTAGAAATAAAATAACAAGTATAGTGGAAATATCGTTTTATTTATACTGCAACTGGAGACTTTTTTACCAAGGGACTTTCTTAGCGGGGACTTCTTCCCGAAACTTTTTTTCCGTTTACCATTATAATAGAAATGAAAAATGAAAAATGAAAAATGACAAAATATTAAATTTAGTAATATACAACAGTAGGTACGTTTTATTATTTAGTATCATTAACAATAATAAAACTAAAATATGCTTATTTATTGTGCTGAAAAATTAATTATATTATTTAACAGTTCATAAATTCATGGGTTCAATACAGCTACTCAGTTTACTTTAAATTTCATATACACCACACGTACCGGCTCTGTAAAACCTCTATGATTTTAGAAATTATGGTCCTTATGAGTGCCACGCAGATTTGGCGAGCGGTGCCCGAGTGTCCGCGCGAAAACAGTCCCACAATTAAGTCGGCCGTCTGTGTGTTTGTGGATTGTGGTTGTTTTTTTCGCTACATACCCACTTGTTGTTATTATTTAGTATTTTAACGATTAATATCCAACAATACAATTTACAAATATCTTATACCTGTAGCAATGAATATATTATATACGAATTAAAACGAAATAATATTATTGCGTAACTTCCTCGTATTATTTTCGTTTATATATAAATACAATTATACCATTAATAAATATACAACTGTATAATATTTTAAGAATAATGTCTAGATATAATACCTATAGCAATAAACATAAACAAACATTGGTGTCGATGTTGCCATTGATTATTTCTGGGGAAAAATAACCATTACTTTGCTAAAAATAAACGAAAATAAATCCGAATACACTGTTAAAAAATAGACATTTCACTGAATAACCACGAATAAAAACAGAATCATTGCTCTGATAACTGAGTAAATTTTAAAGCCATGAAGATGCCTATACAAATTTTCGACTACCCGTCGACCGCGGCACTCAACGTGTTAAAAATTCCACAAAACTTAAATTCAATACAAAATTCAATTTATTAAATGAAAAATGAAGGTGAGCATGATTATAGTGAACCGACCAGTATAAAGACTATAATATATACCTATACCTGTTAAAGTCAAAGTATAATTTAACTATTATGTTGATATATATACAATCCAGGGACTGGAACCTTTATGATTTCATCGGTTTCGGTTTATGTTTCGGTTCTCAAAAACCCAAAATTTCGGTTTCGGTTCTGGTTTTGGTTTTTAAAAATATCAAATTTCTGTTTCGGTTTCGGTTGATACCAGTTTTAACCCTTATTATTTTACTTTTTTTTAATTTTATTTTTATCAATAAAGTACTAGGTATATAAAAAAATGAACATATTAATAACTAAATAATCTCTATTCTAATTATCTTTACAGGTATTTGTAATTAAGTGTCACTATTTCCCAATTTAGGAAATATTATAAAAAATGAATTATTAAAAATAATAAATTAAATTTCGAACATATTATCCATTAAATATTCGAAATTTGTATTATAAATGTTTTTAGTATAGTAAACATTCAAGTTTCTCAAAAATTCTTCCATTCTCTTTTGAGCTTTATTCGGATACATGTTTTGTTCTGTAATTATTTGTTCTCCTATGGTTAAATAGCCATACTTGATGTCGTTCGTTAAAAAGTCAAAAACTATGGGTTCTACGTATTGTTCACTGTTTTTTGTTATTAAAAACTGTTTTGGTATCAAATTATTTGTGCTTAAATACTGTTGCCTATTAATTGTATTTTTTGAACGTCCCAGAATACGGTCTATACAATTATTAATTATATTATTAATTACACGAATATGTTTAAATAATTAATTTCTGTAGTTAGCTTACAACTCATTCGTCTTTTCGTATATTCAAAAACAGTTCTTCTGCATAATATTATACCACTAACAATATACGAAAAATTCTCATTAACATCTATTTCATGTTCTAGTATAAACTTACCTAAATTCATTATTTCAAGTGCGGTCGTTGATTTTTCAATAAAGTCTTTAGCTTTAGGTACTGCATTATACACATCTTTATCGCTAAGTTCATAGTCCATATCTATAAGTATTAAGTTATCTAACTTATTATAATATCATATACAATTTTAATTTAATTAAATATTATTGTCTAAAAAACTTTTTTTTTTCAAAAATTTAAGAGCAATATGCTGACATATTATAATATTTATAATATTTAAAATAAAATAAAATAGATTTCTGTTATATTATTCAATAATTATAGAATTTATAAAATGTATAAATATTTTAATTAATTTTACAAAATTTCTGATAAAATGTTTATTGTTTGTGTTTTAAATTATAAATCCTAAAGAACCAGAGCTTAAAAATGTCAAATATTGAGCTGGGGGAATAAACGTTAAATATTAAGTAAATTTCGTAAAAATATACATAATTTTTTATATTATTTTGTTTTTTTTGGATTACGAACCAGTTATTAATATTTCTAAAAAATATGTATCCAAGCCCAATGAACGTTTATTCACATTCTTGTCACTTGTTTTTTCGTAGATGTTTTTAAAACCATCGGGCATTGTATTTTCGGAGTTTTTAGCCATATCCTACAAAATTAATGATTTTCTATAAACACATTGTGTAAGTGAGTCCCAAATGGGCCCGATCTGCTGTAGAAAATGTCTGCCTGCTTCGCAATTATTGAAGTTTTTTTTAACATAGATATTCTATCTAAATACACTCGAACATTATCCAAATCTGTTGGGTTATAAATCTTTTCTAATTTCTAAAATAAAATAAAAATAAAATTTTACTTGACTGTATGATATACTGTATTATATGAGGTTTGATTGAAATATATAACTTGGTCGGGTTAACATGAAATAATTTATTACTACCGATTGATCAGAATAGCTACACTGTTCTTCAGTAATTTCTTCCATCGGTTCATCATTAATTTCTTCTTCGAATTCTGCAAACAATAATTCTTGGTCACAATTTTCAAAATCATCAAGTGTTTTATTTTCTATGCATTTGTCGATTAACTGTTGATTTTTTAATAATGTAATATTTTGATAATCAACTTTATTGTAATAACGTTCAATATCTCTTTTTTTCTTTTCAGAATGTCTTAGTTTTTCTCTCTCATAATTTTTGTGATCTTATGTGTAATGTGTTTATCTATAATAATTTGTAATTTTTCCCTATTTTTAATGGTCTCAAGTGTTCTGTGATTGTGTATTCTTTGTTGCGTTTACTCTGTTTTTTGATACCTGGCTTCCAACTTTTTGTTATTATCTTTAAAATTTTCCCGGTGTATTTTATCGATTCGTTTGTTGTATTTTTCCACTAGTGTTCCAAGCAATCCTTGGTGCTTATCATTTTCAGTTCTACGATTTTCTCTATGAGCATTTAGCTTAGCGTCTATAATTTTTTTTTTTTTTTTACCTTCAAGATTAAATAATTGATCAATTTTTTTTAAATAAATCATGTTATTCTGCATACTAAAACAACTAATATAACTATACAATAATACACATTTATTTTATGGACAAATATTTTTTCAAAATATCGTTTTATTCTCTGTTAATATTATTACCTTAAGTCCTTAACATAGTACCATGTGCTGTTTATTTGTATTATTATTATTGTTATTATTATTATTATTATTATTATTATGCCATCATCCATTTCTTAGGAAACGTTTATTAAAAACACTTTTGGTTGGTTAGTACAATCACTGTTGATTTAATTATTTTAAATTGTATTTTGTATCTAAACAATTTTGGAAAAACAGTGAAAAATGGACTCTACAATTGTATCTAATACCGAAGAACCATGTGTTGTGTATCCCTGGGTAAGAACAATATTGGATTTAATAAATAATATTGTGCGTTATTGAAAACAAATATATATGCAAAGGAACCTTGTCATGACAATGAAATGCAAATGAAAGCTTCTTTTGAGGATAACTATCTTGACTATATGAGTAATTTAAAAATTGAATCAAGTCCATCACCAAATACATTAACCACGATAGCTTGTGGCATCCGTAAGTATATTTGTACATATGTATACACAAAATAGTTAAGATTCTCTGTCCATAAATATTTCTTTTGATATTATTATTATTTCAGAACATAACGTGACTAGAAGTTTAATAAAAGAATTTTGTGAAAGTGGCGCATCTATGGTAATATTTGATTTTAACGGCTTATCGTTTGAACAGAGTCGAAAAATGGTCTACGAAATTCGCCAAGGGGTTTTTAATTACAGTCTTAAAAAGAACAATCGAGTACCGTATTCAATGACTTTAGTACTTGATCTTGAAGGATCGTGCATTACAACTGGAAGCATATTCCATACAACAGTGATAAATATTGATATAAAATAATAATTTTTAAATAACGGTTATGATTTCTAAGAAAAATTATTCAAGTAGCGTGGCTCAATTATTCTAATGAACAACATAATGTATGATAATAAATTATACAAAGTGTGTGAAAGTCATAAAAAATGTTATTTCTAAAACGATTTATTACTATCACGTTTCTAGTAATTTTTATGGAATACTTAATTTTACTTGATAGACCACACAACGTTTGATAGAATTATCGACGAACTCTCATGTTTACGTCACCAACGATGTCGAGTACAAATTTAAATGTACGGAGGATCGTATTTATGTGAACAGCGATATAATTCTTCGGCTAAAAATTAACGATCGGATCTACTTGGACTACGGAAAAATCGAACTGGCCGTAATAAGAGTTGGTAAGCACTTAAACGCCATGTTATTTTATTATTATAACAACGAACGAGGAATACTGTCGGAGCGATGTCTACACGGCAATGGATGGCGTTAGAAAAAGAAACATTATTTTTTTTGTCTGAGCAGATGAGGACGAGGTATATTGCGTGATAAAGCGAGGAGAATTTCTGGGTTCCAAAAAAGTAGTGCACGTGCCGGGAGTTCCGGTTGGCTCGACGGCACTCACCAAACTAGACGAGGAGAAAATTCGCACAGGGATCCAGCTCAAAGTGGACGTAATATTGGTGCCCGGTGTCAGGAACTCAGTGTTTTTCGACAGCGTCCGCAAGTTTGTTGGTAAGTCGAGCATGAAATCTCTGAGACCAGCAAACGGTCTTTGTTCTTCTATTTCTTCTCACCCGTGCCTAGTCTTGAAATAATTACAATAGTCTACATTCAAGTATTTCACCGGTTTAATTTAGACTTGTTTTTTTTTCTTATTTTTCACCAGCTCTCCGTTGGTCCATATTCCACTCTAATCTGTTGAAGTTTCTCCAGAGCTCTCGTGGAACAATTTTCCCTTAATTACGTAGTTCCATATGTATTTTTTTTTTAAGGTACAGAGCGAGGCAGGGATATTAGCCTGTATGCGAAAATTGATAACACTGTTGGACTGGAGAACATGGATGATATCATACCGGGCGTGGACGGCGTGTTCCTGAACCGACCAAACTTGTCCATGGAGGTCGGTCACGACAAGATATTCCTCGCCCAGAAGATCGTCTTGTCCAAATGCAACTTAGTGAGTTTTCATGACTTAATAATAATAATAATAATTATGTACGTACATGATTTAATTTAATTATATAAAAGCAAATGCAACTCTATAACGCTGTATACCCAATTTATAAACGTGTTATGTCGCAAACAAACTAAATGAACAATTGGTTTTGATTAAGTATATGATAAAATTAGGATTTACGATCTATATACCTGACCGACACAATGATAGATTGACGTATAACATATAATAATAATATATTATATTATGTGCTTTTAGTCCAAACCAAAAATCGATCCCACCCAAGCTATAAGCATCGGATGCGTAGAGGTATCGTTCAAATGTCACGCGGCCGCGATTATTGTCATCACCACATCCGGGCTTTCGGCTCGGTACATTGCCAGGTATCGGCCCAGATGTCCAGTGTTGGCGGTCGTCAGGCACGGAAAGTCCGCAAGAAAGTTATCAGTATGGCGTAATATCATAGCATTGCAGTACATCGGTAAATAACGATAACAATAGTCAGTAATAATGACAACATGGTGTTTACATATAATGCATTAAGTCCGTTTTGAAAGAAGCGAGTATCATGACAGTTTTAAATAGTCGATATTTTTGCAGATTTTTTCTTTCCTAGATAGTTTAATTTGACTATTTTCAATAGATTATTTAGTAAATGGTTTAATTAACCATGTGGTCATAAGTGCAAATAGTGGGGGGCTGGGGGACTCAGTCGCACTATAACCTGTAATAGCCCCCCCCCCCAAATAAATTACTCAATTGTTTCCTAAAATATTGATAAACTTTTTAAAACTCAACTTTAATATTTAAATTATTGAACTTTTACTTAAAGTTCATAATTTTATTATTTTATAATATTGCCTATGGGCTATGATAAATATGGTAAATATCATTAGCTGTGCGCCTGTATTTGTTTTTAAGGTAATTATTTATGTCGGTACATTGGTTATTGGTACGATTATTATAAATAATTGTACATTATATGCACTGAACTATAATAATATGTTGTCTGTATATATTATTATCGTGAAAAATTAAAATTGAAAATTAAGTAAATAAATATTTGTTTTTTTATTTTTTAATTTTTTTATATTTTTAAGTGAATGTATGGGTGCAACGCTCGAATGTATGTAGTGTTTTTTTTTTAAAAATTATTAAAACACATTTATCATTTTATGTTCAAACAAATATTTTCTTAAGGGGGCTGCAGCACACATATTTTTCGTACGTTTTAGACTAATAAGCGGTGGTAAATTACATAACTTCGGAATGTCCGATTTAAATTTTTGATACATGTTTGAATTCATTGATAAAATATCTGGCTTCTTAGGATGTCGGTTTTCAATTTTCAATTTAAAATTACCTTAAAACAACCAATTTTTTTTTAGAAATCCCGTGAAATAATTGCATTACATTTGTATTTATTTTGGGCACATCTGATTTTAAATAAAAATAAGTGATTCCTAAGAAGCATAATCTATAAGTTTATAAATTCAACCGTTTTTTCGAAATTACAATCGAACTTCGGGATGTATGATTAATTTACTACCGCTTTTAGTAGTTTTATAGTCATGCAAACAAGAATATATTTCATTTTTCGCGATGTATTGTGTATAATATGTTATATATTATGTCAATGTGCGTGCGCGTGTGAGAGTTGCTTCGCTACCGGTTGCCCTACTCGACGTGCAGCAATTCTCGGAAACGATAACGGATTATGCACAGTGCACACTAATGTTAATTTACTACTCCCACATAGATACAGTATTAATTTATATTATGTCACATGAATTGCCTAAATAGTACTCCTTAAAATATGCCACGTTGCAGTCCAATTAATCAAGAAATTAATTCATTTTTTTTATTATTCGGTTATTAAAATATTAACTAGGTACGATTGGTATAATATTATGAATTACGATACTATACAATATGATATATCTATAAGTGACTATATCTAAAATATTTTCGAACGAATCTATTCGTTATGTGTACATTATACGGCGTTATGTATAAATTATGTTACAGGTCCAATAGAAAATGTTTTTAAAGACATCGAAAACCGAACGAGGTTTGCAATGGATTTTGGGAGAAGAAAAGGTATACTGCATCAAAGAGATTTGGTTTTGCATATGAGCTACTCTAAACAAAGCATGGGTTTTGCTAATACCATGAGCGTGTTCTACGTTAGTGCTGGAGACTTCGTTAGCGCATAACCACTATGCACAACTTTAATTAGAATAAAAATATATAAACAGATTTTGAGATCATATTATTTGATTTTAAAAATGATTCATATTGGAATATATTATATATTGCTTGTTAAATTTAACTATTATATTATTATAATATATTCATAAGATTCATATTTTATAACTATTGGCTTTTGTACATTCTTATGTATTAGGTAGACTCATATGATAACCATAGTCAATTGTTTCATTAACCTACAAATTATATTAATAAATAAGCGGGAGAAGTAAGTAAGCGCTCTGTTGTATAGGATTTGAGTTAACCTCGTCATTAAATAAGTAACTAAAATGGATGTGTTAAATTTTAAATCAATGATTATAAACATTATAATTGTATTTTTAATTAGGTACAAAATAATTTGCAAAATGTTGGTGATTTTGAGGAAATTCGTAAATATTTAAACTTCATACACTGTCAAAAATTTAGAATGGTCTATAAATAGTTTTAAAAAAGGCAAAATTTCTTATCTTAATTTTATTATCTTATCCGTTATTTCGCACACAAAATAGTGTGTGATCTTAAACCACTAGGTATAACTTATAAGTTTAGCTATAGGTACCATGACCAATAAAGTGTACAGTTTTTGTATGCAACCCTCTTATTAAACAAAGTAAATTACTCAGAATTGATTTGTGTGCTAAAAATCTGTCGTTCAATTGGTGATTAAAACTATCCAAAAAAGGAATAAATAAAGGGCTCTATAGTATGACTTAGCCGAGTCTGTTATCGCATTTGTTCTATAGATACTCGCTTGTTTGTTTGCTAATTAGGTACTATTATATTGATATCGAACTTTTCAGATTTTTTAATACCTCATTATATAGTTATATTTTTAAACCATTTTTCTGATAATCTTTAGTACATTTTGTTTACTTTTTGTTAAAATTAGCCAAGGGGGGGGGGTGTTTTAACACCCAAAACATCCCCCATGGCTACGCCACTGAATAAAACGTTTATTTAACGTTTTCATTCAAAAAGTTTTTATTAACGAATTGATTGTGTGTCATTTTTCTAAAGCAAATTTAAAAAGTATTTTATTGTTACATATTTATAAAGTATAGAAACTTGTCGATCAAACTTACTTAAATAAGAGCGAGCATTTGAAGGGCGAAAATCCAAAACGTGGTATTTCCAAAAATCAAAATGTTCACAAATTAAGAAAAACTATATCATGTTCTATGACATTAATGAACACTTGTAATTGGTGTAATTAAATGAAAAAAACTGAAAAAAAAAAACGATTGACGGTGTCAAAATAAATCTATTTTGAGTTTTAAACTTAGTTTTAATACTTTTAAAAAGTGTTTACAAGCCAAAATGTGGTATTGCCGGCAACACCACATTTTGAATTAAACACCGGCAATATTGCGTTTTGCCCACTATCACTAACGTTCAGTACAAAACGTGCTTTTTCCGGCAATAACACGTTTTGATTTGAATTCACGAAATTTAAAATAAAAAATAATTTTGAATATACATTTTGTTACATGATATTATATCAAAACGTAATTTTATCATTCAGTTTGAAAAAGAAAATGTATTTAGTTCAAATAAGTTTTATTAAACATAGAACAATGCAATAGGTAAATTAATTAAAAACAAAGTATAAAACGTAGTATTAAGTTTATTTTCGTCACTGCATTATAATCTGAATCAGTGAAAACCAGTTTTCTTCTTACATCTTTCTAAAATATTAAATACATATTAATAAATTATAGTTAAATGTAATATACAATAATATAGACATCGTATGAGTATACTGCAATAGTACATTACATATTAGCTACTTAATCAATTAAATAACTAAAAAGTGTGTGTGTTATCAGTACGCGCGCGGGAAGTTAAACTTCTTTTGAATGGTACACGTGAGTGAGTGAAAAAGAAAGAAAGGCACTAATTTGTTTTCCATTAGATTATGTTTGAATTATTCAAAGTACCAAAGACATCATAGTGATACCCAAGTCGGCACTTGCTTTATATAGCAGTGGTAGGACTACTGGCTTGATGGTAGATTCTGGGTACGACTACACACAATTCATGCCTATTTTCGAAGGATATCCATTGCAACATGCCGTACAAAAACAATGTCAGTTGGTGGATGGCATATAACACAATATTTGATAGAATTTTTGAATAAACGTGGATACAGTTTTAACTCTTCGAAAGATTTCAAAACTATAAACAATATCAAAGAAAAATTGTGCTATTTTGCTTTGAACTTCAATTTTGAAAGAGATATGTATACCAAAGAAAAAGAAAAACAATATATACTGCCAGATGGAATGGTGATCAATGTCGAAACCGAAGCGTTAGTATTTTATTCAATAAAAACGGGCAATTAAGGGTTATCTAACATTGTATAAATAATATGTTGAGGACCAAAAAAAAAAGGTAATCATGAAAGTAATTAGAATGATTTAAAAATGTTAAGTCTAAAAAATATTGAAACTATAGTCTATAATGGCTATTTTATAACTATAATTATATTTATGATGGTTTATTTATAATATTATGTATTATGTACAGTTCGCTAGATAATACGATTGTCGATTATTATAAGACTTATTAATTTCACAATAAATATAACATATATATAGGACATAGGTATATTATCTATATTATAATATATGACTATATGACTTACCTAGTTTATTATAAATATACAATATGTTACATTATAAGAAAATAATCATTGATTTATTTATTCAAGTATAAACTATTATAGCTTTCAATCACCTGAAATCTTGTTTGATCCTCTTTTATTCAACATCGAATCGAAGCTAGGAGGTATCCACAACTTGATACACAGAGCATGCAGTGCTCTCAATTATAAAAAACAAAAAAATATGTACAACAACATCATATTGGCTGGTGGTAATACGATGTTTAAATTTCTACCTATTCGTTTGGAGAAAATGGTAGCTGACTTAGTCACATCTTCTACTAGCATTCAAATCAAAGCGGGCCCCGAACGTAAATTTTCCACATGGCTTGAGGGTTCCGTATTAGCTTCGATGCCCAGCTATCAGAAAATGTGGATCAGTAAGGAAAATGGGCCTGCAGCTTTACACGAAAAAAGCTTAATTTGATTGATGTTAATCTATTATAATTTATGATAATCCTAAACGTCGATCAATTTACTAGCTTTCTAACAGTTATTTAAAAATTAAAAGATCGTTAATATTGATGATTAATAACAATTTTCTTTTTACAAACATTTCTGTTATATTGTCACCTATTCCGTACTATACAGTATACACTCATTCATACTAAGTTTAAAATATAATACCCGATTTTTAGTCTACGTACACATAGCGTTGCTATATATACCTACAGCATGTATAATATTATATTTCTTTAACATATATAGGTACCTGGTTAGTGGTTATAATATCTACTATACAATTTATTGTGTGCATGTATTATTATTATTATTTAACACAATGATTTATAATGCAAAACAATTAAATTTGGGTGGAAATTCAAATTGAGACCAATCAGAAGTTTCAATCGGTACCTATACAGGTACAAGCCGAGACCGACCACAGAATGCTGATATGCGGCCCGGAGACTTAGATCTGAGATCTGTTGTAGTCTTGTAGATAAATTCTTCATCGGCGAAACTGATAGATCTGGCAAATTCGATAGTCCGTTATTGAATCCTGTCAGAGGAACACGTTGATGTACCCTAGCACTCTCGGTCGTCTGTCGTCGGCGCCTCCTGTATGACGGGTAGGCAACCGATCGTGTACTACTCGGTTTAGGTTTCCAAGCGGGCGTACGACGTGCCAGGGTGTTGAATGTTGATCATGGACCGCTGGTGGCACTTATCGCCTTAAAGTAGTTGTGTAGGCAACCGGTCATTCAGTATTCACCAAGTCCGATTGCCGTTTGCCACTCGAGATGGCTGCAGCACTGTACTACAACTGTTGTAGTGTCAGTAACCGCCAGCCGGTTACTAGCCATGTAACGATATCTACGAATCCGAGTGGTTGTTGAATTGAGCGTAACCGTTTTCCGCCAAAAAAAATTAATATCAGTTATATCCTGCCATATTATTACTATTATTATTATATAAATAATTTAGGACAAATGAGAAATGAAGAGTACCTACATTCAAAATCACATTCATGAGCAAATTAACTGGGTTCGAGTTTGTTAAACAAATCTATTTTTCATGTATTAAATATTCTATGTGTTAAAATATGTCGGATTTTTTATACTTTTTATGAAGTTTTAATTTTTATAATTGAATGTATTATTTGAACGAGAAACTTGTGATGTTTCTAATTATTAATATTAATATTTATACTGTTTATACCTACTAGTCGTTTAATTTTATATGTATTTAATATTTTAATATGATCAACATCTGTCGTCTGTGATACAAGGTGAGGCGAGTACATCGTAATCGTAATCATTGAAGGATAAGGTTCAGAGGTTCTCAAAAATATCTCAAATAATGTATTAATTTTGTTTGGCGAAAAACGGAAACCCCTGTTCAATTTGGCCATTTTAGGAGTGAATAATAAAAATACAGCGATGGATATCACTAACCGAAAGCAAACAAAATGAGGATGAAAATACAAAAAACAAATTTATTTTGGAAGATGCTATTAAAGATACTAAAGCCATCGACAAATATAGTGGTGGGGGGTTAGGTGTTCAAACCCCTCCCAGGTTACACATAAGTATATGTGTGTAGAATTATTATTATTGGTTATACTATCGGGAACCCTGACTAGGGATCTCTAAATCCAGTATACGCGCCAGTGTCATACAGAGAACAGCTGATTGTAATGATTATACATCATTATAATATGGGCATTGCCGATATCGGTACCCAACTTTCTATTTTTCATCATTTAGGTAGCCTCAGGGGTGGATTGGCCTATCGAGAAATCGGGAACCTTCCCGATGGGCCGGTTCTTGTGAGGGCCGGCAGGGCCGCTATAATTATTACAATATAATTACAAAAAAAATTATATTTTTATAAATTAAGCATAAAATATATTAAAAATCAAATACCTACGAAGGTATTATTTTTAATATCTTGAACTATTGCAATTCATAGTAGGAATTTTGGTATTTACACTATTATCCCTCCAATTCATGCTAATGTATTATTTAGAAATCTGTGGTATTGGTATTTTAGTATTTATATTTTATACTCTATGGTAGAATTTAGTTGCGTGATAACATTGATAACCTTATCTTATCATTACTTGTATTTTTTTTTTTGATTTTGAACTTTTTACACAAACGAGTTACTTTACTGAAGTGTGTTTAGTGTACAAATTCAATTGCACTGTGCTAATTAAATTATGTGTGATGCTGGTGAAAAACGAAAGAAGGGTGGCGCTGAAAAGGTATGAGAAAAAAAGAAAAAACGGTTAATGGAACCTATTTACTTGGAAAATTGTTTTAAATTTTCAATCCTTATACATGTTGAACATTTTATAAATTTTTAACAACAAAATAATTATTAAATTTTGATAAATCTTGTCAAAATTCGAGCTTTAATTGCTTATAAAATAAAATGTATGGCTATGTATATTCAATATTTTTCAACTGATATCAACAATATATCAGGAGCCTTGTATTAAATTTTCAGGCTTTTTGGCCCAACAAATACCATTTTATTGGTATTTATAGAAAAAAAAACTAAAAAAATTAAAATTTGAAATGGTCCTTTAAAACATCAAAAAGAGATAATTATTTTCAAAATTGTATGGTGTATACAAAATGCTAATATAAATATTCAGTGAAATTTTCAAATATCTACATTCTATATTCATTTGTTTTTTAATCACAACAAAATAAGAAAATCATTACATGAGAAATCGAGTGAATATCAAATGTTGTATAAAAATTTGAATTTCAAACGGTCATAAAAATTTAATCTGAATTTCTTGTTGACATTTTTTTTTTTTTGATAAAGGTAGACAAACTTATGAGGAATTTTGTATTAAAAATGTGTTTTAAAATTTTTTTACGAATTTATAACTCAAAATAATTTGCAAACTTTCGTCATTTTTACGTATTTTGTCAATATTTGAACTTTAAATGCTTATAGAAAAAAATTGTGACTGGATTTTTAATTTTTTTCATCTGCCTTTGAAACAATATACTAGTGGCTTTTTATTACATTTTCAAGCTTTTTAACCAACAAATAAAATTTTATTGATATTTATAGAAAAGAAAACTGAAAATGTCCGTAAACAGCTCAAAGTAAGTCAAAATGTTATGGTGTATAGAAAATGCTAATATATAAACATTCGGTCAAAATTTCGTGTACCTACAGTCGTATTTATTTTGTAGTTGCTTCAAAAACCAAAATCGATTTTCCCGAAAACAGATTTTGCGTAAAAATTCCCCGATTTACTTAATTTTTCTTTTGTTTTTCACGGCACTTTTGAAAACTACCTGGACATTTTTATTTTTGACCCCCCAAAGTACCAACTAGATTAACTTTCCCTATAATATACTGATATACGCATATGATAAGCGGCGAGTGGGTACGCCGATAATTATACATCATAGACGTAGACCTAAAGGCAGGGCCGAATTTAGGGAGGGGAAACTGGGTACAACTGCCTCGGGCGCCAAAATTTTGTGGTCAGAAATTTGTTTACTTGTGAATTATTAAAATTTTAAAATTTTAATTATTTTAATGACAGTATTATATAATATACTTTAGTATAATAGTATTATATATACGTATAGTATTATGCTGTTTGAAATGTTTTAATTAATATTAATTTGCAGTTTCATATAGTTTTATTTTATTTCTTCATGAATAAGTACTAATCATCAAAGCTTCGGAATATGAAATAATTTCTTTGCAGTGGAAAGAAGCAGTGACGGAGGTTCTTTGGGATGAGGAGGTGGGTTCGTGGTTTGACTTTGATTTGGTCAATAATATAAAACGAAAGGATTTTTACCCAACAAATATATCACCTTTATGGACTGGCTGTTACCAAGAGAACAAAACCGAATACTTCGTAACAAAGGTTCTGAACTATATAAATAAGACTGAAATACTGGAAACAGTTGGGGTATGCCGACCACTATGAGGACAACGAAACAACAGTGGGATCAGCCCAACCCCAACGCATGGCCCCCCCCTTCAATACATAGTGGTGGTGTCATTACAAAACACAGGACATAAAGATGCTCAAATAATGGCACCGAAAATTGCTTATAAGTGGTTGTGCACAAATTATGTACCATACTACAACTATACAAAAATGTATGAGAAAGTAAGTCCGTTTTGAAGTAATAACTGAATAAAACAATTTATCGGGTGGAAAGGGCATACTGTACAATATTATTTTAATTTATTCATTATAAATATAAATTTCATTAAGCCGTTTTTGATTATCAATTTATATTTATAATTCACAACGATCATAATCATCATAAGGGTGTAATTATATAAAAAAAATGCTTAAAGATGCTAAAAAAATCTGTGGACAAACATTTCGATTGGTCTGTAGGACAGTAATTGAAAATTGTTTAGGTGGTTTAACTGATAGGCAGGTTTCACGTGAATTGTAGACGGATTTTTTAATACTTGTTACTACATCTGTAGACTTATTTAAATAAATAATATTGTCGTTGGTTATCGTGTATACTAATTCACCAAATGTTTTGACAGTATCGAGTGGATCTTGCTGGGCAAAAAGGATTGAGTTCACTGCTCTAATGAATGGTATTATTATATTACCAATCAATTAGGTATAAAGTGTATACCTAGACTATTCTGTTTCATGTTATTACTATTCTGTTATTCATTACATTTTATACAACCAATACAGGTATAGCAGCAAAAATAAAAAGAAGATAATAATGGTCCAAAACATGTTTATTATATTTTTATTGAATTTAAGTTTTGATATTTGGTTAAAAAAAAAGTTATGGAAGAAATTTCGGGGATGGTCCAGACCCCCCTTTTAAAAAAATAATATAACAAAATATATAAAAATTATAATTATAATTTTAGCTGGCCAAAAATAAAAAAAATAATTATTTAGTTTAAAAAGTATATCATATATATATAATACAATTCCCATGGTAATTGATATAA